GGTCGTTTTTCGATCTTTTCAAACAACAAAAATAGATTTTCGACTTCTCAAACTGTAACCAGCTGAAGTCGTGTTCTCGATTTCCAAGATATTGAATTTGTACTTGTTGTGGGTATAATTGTAATTGTATCTAAAAAATATTTTGTGGTTAAAAAAAGTCAAGAATTTAAGAACGTATTTATTGTAATGCTATAGGGTATACAATAATTATACCCTACAACACTATGTGTTGGGGGTATTATAAGTTTGATTGGGCCAAAAATTATGTAACACCTCGAAATATTGGTTTCCCACATAGGAAAGTATATATGTATCTTCCTAGCTCGCCGAGCTGAGTCGATCTAGCTATGTATGTCCGTCCATCCGTCTGTCCATGTTAATTTGTAATCACTCTACAGGTCGCAATTATGGTCCGATCTTCACGAAATTTAGAATGTAGGTGGGGCTTGGACCAGAATAGAACCCTATTGCTTTTGGAGATGATCGCCAAATGTTTAGGGGTTGAAATGGACCAAATACTGAAAAATGTCGGATTTTGCAGTAGCTCTACAGGTCGCAATTATAGACCAATCGACGCGAAATTTCGCATGTAGATAGAGTTTAAGGCGGGGAAGAAGCCTACCAATTTGGGTGGTCATCGGGTAAAAAAATTAGCGGGTAAAATAATATAGCAAATTATGTGCGATATATATGTTTATCAAAGAAGATATTCTTGAAAAATTTTTTATATATCGAGAACGGCTGAACTGATTTCGACAGTTCTCATTAATTCAGAATTGCCTCTTGGCAGGAAAGAAAAAACGCCTAAAAAATCGCATAAAAATATCTCTCTAAAAATGAAAATATGGATTTTGTAACATTTTCTCATATTTTTTCAATTTTGTCATATTTTTGGCATATTTTCATTTTGAATTAAACATTTGGTAATATTTCTACAGCTAACAAAACTAAGTAGTTAGTATATCAGAATATCATATACAGATCGCATTTATGGCCCGATCCTTACGAAATTTTGCATGGGGATAAGATGAGGGTCAGAATAGAAGCCTACTCTTTTTGGAGATGATCGCCATAAATTTAGGAGTTGAAATGGACCAAAACCAGGTTTTCTTTTATTATTTGTCACAATATGTTGTGGAATTCTTTCGAGTATCTCGCTTATATAAACTGTATCGTTTATTATAGTGTTGTAGGGTATTCAACGGTCGGCCCCGCTCGACTGTAGGCTTTGCTTACTTGTTTTTTTTTTTTTTTTTTTTTCTTCCAGGACTGTACAGCTGACCATGAGAAAAGAAGGAACATGTCAAATTTTATTATATTTTATTGGAGGGATTCTAGATATCACTACACACTTCCCTACAATGTATCACATCCTAAATAGCACTGCTGTGTAGTATTTTATACCCTCCACCATAGCATGAAGGATATATTAAGTTTGTCATTCCGTTTGTAACACCTCGAAATATACATTTTAGACCCCACAAAGTATATATTTTTGATCAACATAAAATTCTATGTCGATTTAGCGATGTCCGTCCGTCTGTCCGTCTGTGGAAATCACTCTAGCTTCCGAACGAAATGAAATAGGTTGATAACAATTTACTCAAATGTGTATTATGTCTGCAGGACTTTTGGTATTGAAAATTGGTCATGTAGGTCCACGTTTTGGTATAGCCCCCTTATAATGGTACCCTCTTTTTTCGGTGATTTAGGTGACATTATTCACCAGACATGTTTCAAATTTGGTATTTGAAGTTCGTAATGGATACTACAGCCTATGAAAGAAAATTGTCTGGGCAGGTCCACGTCTTCGTACAGCTCCCATATAACGGTACCTACCGATATTCGGTATTTTAATGATTTTAGCGACATTGTTCACCGGAATTGTTTCAAATTTGTCATTTGAAGTTCATAATGGATACTAAAGCCTATGAAAGAAAATTGTCTGTGTAGGTCGTATAGCACCCATAAAATGGTACCTCCCGATATTCAGTATTTTGATGATTTTAGCTAAATTATTCACCGGATTTTTTCAAATTTGGTATTTGAAGGTCGTAATGAATACTACAGCCTAAGACAGAAAATTGTCTGTGCAGGTCTACGTCTTCGTATAGCACAAATATAACGGATTTAATTTTTTTGAAAATTGCCAAATTCGTTAAAAATGGTGGAGGGTATTCAAACATCGGTCGGCCCGAACTTACAGCTTTTTTACTTGTTTGCCGTTAGCATAGTAACATATACATAAATTGGCAAAATTTAATTTTGGGCCAAATTCTGTCACACATTTCATACTTCATTGAAATTTGGTATGCATTAAATACACGAAATCGGACGAAAAATGTTTGTAGGACCTATCTACAAAACTGAACCCATTTCAATATAATTTTACAAATTTGTTTCCAGATTTCATTGAAATTAGAGATATGCAGCGTGTTTGGTGCATCAAATACATAACATCTACCGAAAGTGTATGTGAGCTATATCCAAACATCAACCGATTACAATATAAGTTGACAAATTTATTTTTGTACCAAATTCCTTCACTTATTCCAAATTTCATTGGAATCGCGTTTGGTGCACAAAATACATGGAGTCTACAGAAAATATATATGGGAGCTATATCCAAATCTGACCCGATTTTAAAATAATTTGACAAATTTATTTTTGTTCCGCAATATATCAAATATATGAAATCGGCCGAAAAATATCCAAATCTGAACGAATTTCAATTTATTTTAGCAAATTTATTTTTATACCAAATTCCGTCACTCATTCCGAATATCATTGGAATCGGGCATACATATCGTGTTTGGTGCAACAAATAAACGAAATCGGTCGAAAATATATATATGGAAGCTATATCCAAACCTCAACCGATTTCAGTATAATTTGGAAAACTCATTTTTGTACCAAATTCCATTACTCGTTCCACATAGGGGCAAGGGTTTACGTCTTTGTGCATTTGTTTGTTACATGAAGGAGGAAGCGAGATAGATCCATAGTTAATTTTGAGCATCTTCATAGAATCACTTTCTGAGTCGATTTGTGCATGTCCGTCCGTCTGTCCATGTATTTTTGTGAACGAAATGTAGATCGGATTTATTTTCCGATTGAGATGAAATTTTCCAAACAATATTTGTTTGGCACAAGGACAAACCCTATTGAAGTTGATGAGAATCGGTTCAAATTTAGATATAGCTCCCATATATATCTCCAACCGATTTTGGGTTAATTGTGCACCAAATAGCCAATATCAGTCCAAATGACCTGATTTTGGCATATCCGACCGAATTCAATCTAGAAGCAAATACATCAAATTTGATGAAAATCGGTCCATATATATGTTTCATTCTCTTTTGGGTTTTAAGTCCCTCACATGCGTAATATGCACTCCACAACAATGATCTTTGGTACTAGATATCAGATACAGCTCAGAAATACCTCAACCAAATTTTATCGAGATCGGTTCAGATTTTTATATACCTTCAATATACATCCGACTCTACGATCATTGTCCACCATATACGTAATATCAGCCCAAATTTGATAATTTTTTTTATATTAAATCGAATTTTACCATTTGGTGAATTTTTACTAATTTGAATAATTTTTCATTCGACAATTTCAATTCCAAAATTGGTTTGACAGCTCCAGCAGCTGAGTCGATGCGGCTACCTGTATTCTTCTACCATAAAACTACATTTGCTCCAAAGTTGTTTTGATGGATGAGCTGTATTCTTACAAATGTTTTGCAAGATGCTGTTCGTTTATTTTTGCGATTTTTTATCCAGCATTCTATGGAGGGTATATTAACTTTGTCATTCCGTTTATAACTCCTCGAAAAAAAAAACCTACAAAGTATATATATTCTGGATCAGCGTAAAATTCTAAGTCCATTTATCAATGTCCGTCTGTACATCTGTTGTAATTACGATATCTTTCGAACGAATTGAGATAGAGTGCTAAAATTTTGCACACGTGTATATTTTTCCAGTAGACAGGTTAAGCTCGTAAATGAGCCATGTCGGTATACGTTTTCGTATATTCCACATATAACGGTACCTCCCGATATTCGGTATTTAGATGATTTTAGCGACGTAATCCACTGGAAATGTTTCAAATATCGTATTTGAAGGTCTTAATGATGATTTTATCGACATTATCTACCGGAATTGTTTCAAATTTTGTATTTCAAAGTCCTAATGGGCACTATAGAATATTAAAAGAGATTTCAGGTCCACGTCTTCGTATAGCCCCTATATAACGGTACCTCTAAGTATTCGGTATATTGACGATTTTAGCGACATTATAAACCGGAATCGTTTCAAATTTCGTATTGGAAGATGTTAATGGCTACTGCAACATATGACAAAATTATGCAGGTCCACACCTTCGTATAGTCCCTATATAACGATATTTTTATGGTATTTTTATGATTTTAGTCTATATGTCTTTTGATTTGTTTTGATGATTTTGGAGACATTATTCACCCGAACTGTTTCAAATTTGGTATTTAAAGCTCGTAACGAGTACTACAGCCTATGAGAAAAAATTACGCATGCAGGCCTACGTCTTCGTATAGGCCCCATAAAACGGAAGCGAGATTATTCACCGGAATGGTTTCAAATTTCGTATTTGAAGTTTGTAATGGATATTACAGCCTATGACGAAGGTTTGTCTATGCAGAATTGTGTTCGTTTAGACCCCATATAACGAATAAATAAAATGAATATATACAGAACGGTTATACCGGACTTTGCAGAGTCCATATTTAATGGAAATTCGGCCAGATAGTGTTATTTAATCGACAGTGTTTATTAGGTCGGGTAAGTTTTTATTTCAAGTGCCTGGAAAATTATAAAGATGAATGTAGAGGACACGCTTTTTCCATTTTAACACCATTCCTAAAGCCGATCTCACGTATTTAAGTATACGACATACAGTTTAGACTGTGAATTTTAATTGTACATGATCTCAACACAAAATAACTTCATCCATTTATTATTACTATTATTATTAATGTTGGAAATATTTATTTCTTGCGGTTCTTGTATTTCTTGAATAGTAAATTTAAGACGTTATAATTAATATGTATGGTAATAATGTATTTAAAATTAAATTCTATTTCTATTATTAAAAATATGTTTTTTATGTATACGAATATTTAGTAGTAATGGGTGCTATAGATAATGATTATATGTAATGTAGGATGTATGTTTTGTATACAACTAAATTTAAAGATGAAAAGCAATAAAAAATTTTAATAGTTGACCTTAGGAGTACAAAAATTTAATGATATTGTAATGACTTTGAAATCGACAAGAAAACAACCCTTTGATCGATTATATCAATTCAAAGTTTGATGCTATTCCAAAAATTAAAAGTGAAGACAGTTTCAAGTGTAAATGTTGCGTCTGTATATTACCTTAACACATGAAAAGAAAAACAAATTTTGTTTGGCAAATTTTCGGTATACTTTCTAGCAGAATAAGGTTGCAGTCCCAAGCAAAAAAGAAATGCAGGCTGGAAGTTTTTTTCTGTTCCTCTGCTAACAAGAAGAAAAAAAACAAATTCTTCAAATGGAATAAATTTATACAAAAAATAATGAGACACATATAAACGTGTGAGGAGGAGCAAAAACAAATGACACACATACAATGCAATATGTATTGTTTCATATGAATGTTGTGGTGCACATATCTACTACAACTAAACCTAAGTCTTCTGTTTGTCTGTCTGCTAGTATTTAAAATCTATTGGAAAAATTGCCTGCAGGTCGTCTCATACGACGTGCTCTCTGGCCACGTTGATTGCCAAAACCACCGCGACCTGGACTGCCACCTTGTTGCTGCTCTTGTTGTGCACGTTGACTGGGAGAGGTGTTGCGTTGTGAATTACCAGGTGATTCTATATAAGAAGAAAATTCTGATTTAGTCGACCCATTACCTAAAAACGAAAAAAAATTATTTTCTATTACCATGCCAAACAATGGGAGTAGGCCTATTAGCAGCACCGCCACGATGGAAACCACGTTGGGGCCTACGATTCGCCGTCATGCCCTTAGTGGCCTTGGAACGTGTGTTGATGGAGGGTGATGTAGATGCCTCAGCTTCGCGACCTTCCTCCTGCAATAAAGAAATAAACAATTTTCATGTGCCCAATAATACTCGAGGGACTATTCCGACTTACTTCAACTTCCTCAACGGCTTGTTTTTCGCCTTCTGACGAAACACCATCGGCTCCTTCATTTTCTTCTGAGGTTGCTTCAATTTGATTTTGTTGTACATCCTCAGATTGTGTGGCTCCACTGCTTAGGTGACCTATGGACATAAAATTATATTATTAGTTTATTACTTTTTCCCATTTACAAAGACGAACATACTTTCACTGTCTACATTTTCGGATGCCTCAACAGATTCGCCACCCTCTTCGTTGAAATCATCTTCTTCGCCTTCAACGTCCTGTTCGTTTAAACTCTTCTGTGCTTCTTCAGATGTAACATCACCACTTTTCTTTTCATCATCATATTCTTCGCCTAGGAATTCTCCGCCGGCTCCAGCTTCACTATCATCAACGACCACATCGGGAATTTCTTGTCCCACATCTGCAGAGATATCATCAGATTGTTGAACAGTATTTGAGGTGGCAGTATCGGTTGCGCCATAACCAAATTTGGAATCTTGTGGGGAGCTGACAATTTCGGAGCTGTAATAAAGCACAAAAGTTGTAACTATTCCCATAAATCATAATATTTTAAAAACTTACCTTTCCGAACGTCTAGCAGTTGAAGTTTCAGATGTTTCATTTCCGGCCTCTCCTTGGGATCCTTGCTGAAGTTTGACCAAAGTGGCTTTTTGTTGTCGACTTAAGGAACTGGTCTGTTTTCTGACGGGAGTTTCGCCACTACCACTGCTAATGGCCTGACTTTGCTGATTATTATCCTGACTGTGGACTTTGGCCAGGGCGGCAGCAGCTGCTGCACTCGTACTTGCCCCAGTGGCATAGGGATCAGCATCTGTTTGTCCTACAACACCGGCAGAACTACATTGGCCGCTATTTTCCATGTCTTCATCAACATCGACTTCATTGTTGTCGGCTTCACCTACATCAGCATTGCCTTCATTAGCTTCAGGACATTCATTTTCATCCATGTCCTGATCCTGATCATAGTCTTCATAAACTTCATGTTCACCATCAGCATCAGCCGGTCCTCCTTCATCGGCTTCCGCTTCAGCCATGCCATCATCTTCTTCAGAATCCAAAACCACAACATCGTCTTCCTGGTCCCTTTGAGACGAGGTGGGCACTTGATCAACATCAATGCCCGAATCTGAAACACCAGCAGCAGTCATTACTGCAGCCTCAGCACTATGCATGGGAGCCCTCATGCGTTTGGGGTGCTTAGACGAAGTCCCCTTATCAGTATCATCTCCCGTGGTTGAAGAGTCGCCTTCTAATTCACGTGGACGTTTGTGACCAGCAGATGTTCCCGCCTGAGTAGTTGTTACATTGCTACTGGAAGGTGTATGCCTATTGTGACTGCTTACTGCAATGTGGGAGGAACACATAGCCGATGAGGACTGCGATGTACTGGGCTGAGGATTGTTGGGATCTTGAATAAGTTGAACTGTTACGGAGGGTGCAGAGGTGGCTGCACTTGATCCTTCAACCCTTGGAGAAACTAGGGCCACTACTTGTACTTGATTTACATTGCCACCACTAACATGAGGTTGTGGCTCATTTTGTTGTGGTTGTTGGATACTTTCTGCTTCCTGGGAACTTTCAGCAGCTGATGCCGCCGATCCCATGGGAGGTATAGCAGCCACAGCAACCGATGCCGAGCTACTGGTTGAGGGCATATAATCGGTGTGTGACGATGTCGGCGATGAGGACATAGTTTCCAGTGAAGCACTGCCTGTGGTATGAACCTGTTGTTGTGGTGGCACCAAAGCAGTGTTACTGCTTCCGGTGGCCGAACTGGGTGTCGAAGATGGTGTTGAAGTCGATGATGTAGACGAAGTGGATGTGGAGGTACCCGCCACAACAGCTGTAGAGCCTGCTGAGCTTTGTTGGGATGTGGGAAGAATGGCTGCTGTGCGTGTATTTTGCACAGATATTGGGCGTATACTAGCCAATGGAGTTTCACCACCACGCCATGGTGTGACGGTCGCGGATTGCTGCACACTTGCAGAACCAGACATGGGTTTGACATTTGCTGTTCTCGGCGAGGAATCAGATATGGTACCCTTATCGGATATGGCCACCGAGCTGGTAGAAGGTTTGGCAGACTGCTGCAAACCTAGCTGGCGATTCAATTGGTTGATGCGAATGATAAGCGATTCATTTTCTCTAATCAAACGTTGCAAATCTTCCTTGTTGCGATTGTTCTGCTCCAGTAGTTCTCGTTCCAAACGCTGCAATGTTGCATCATATTGCGATTGCAGCTCATTGATTTTGGCTTCATGTGCTTCATTGCATTGCAACAACTTAGTTTTGGTCGCTGCCAATTCATTGTTAACAACATTGCGTGATTCCGTCAAATTGACAATATGGCTCTTGGCTTCTCTCAACAAAGTTTTGGTGCGCTCATCAATCTCAACGGAAGCCTTAAGGTCTTCATAATCCTTGCGAATCTTTTCGTTTTCTTCTTGCATTGTACGAATGACCCCGTTCAAGTTTTCAATAGTTGAGCGATGTTGTTCCAGTTCGGCATTTGAGACAGTAGTATTCTCGCCGGCAGCATTGCCCGCTGCACTGGCATCGACATTCTCTTGACCACCAGCATTGGCATTCGCTGTCTCACCTCCTGCCGCAGCCGTAGTGGCTGGGGTCTTGTTCAACAACTCCAAATATGAATCCTTATAACGTTTGGCAATTTTGCGTATTTGCACCTCCTTGTTTTTGGAGTCTTGTAATTGATGTTCTTTAGCTTCCAAATCTTCGGTAATCTTTTGCACAGCTTCTTCTTTGGACAAAAGTTTATTCTTCATTTCCATTACTTCTTGCATTAGGCGAGAATTGGTAACCTTCATAGTGGTTACATCGGCTGTTAAGCTCTTCTTTTCTTCGGTTAGCATATGTACCTGTCTCTCCAATGATGCTAATTCGCCATCAAATTTAGCTTTTTCTCCCTTCAGCACTTGCAATTCTTCGGTGAGAGATTTTATTTGTTCCTTTTCGGCAGTTAACATTTTGGCTAAATTTTCTCGCTCCGATTGTAAACGTTTAAATTCTTCAGGATTCTTATTGCTCTTCTCTACCAAAACGTTAGCTCTTTGACGCCATTTCAACGCTTCGGTACGCAAGCTACTATTTTCGGTTTGTATCTCTTCAATCTTGGTATTCAAATCACGATTTTGATTTTGCAATGGGAACAATTCATCCTCCAAAGCACTAATGCGATCATTCAATTCCTTAACACGTTGTGTAAGGGCATTACGTTCTTCTCGAAGGACACGATTACTATCGGTAACGGCATTTAGAGTTTCAATCTTACGTAAAATTTCTTCATGTTTAGAAGCGGATACCAAATTGGTATCGGTCTTACTTCTCTCACGATTAAGGAAGTCTTGTAATTCTTCATTCTTCTTTTGCAGAATGTTGAATTCGGATTGCAGGCGTGTATTTTCTGCCTTCAGTATATCCAATTTGGCCAATGTGAGGTCCTTTTCTTTACGTAGGAACTTTATAATCTGCAGCAATTGTTCATTGCTCTTATTTTCAGCTTCAGCATCAACCATGGATCGATTGGCATCACCACCACTAATCGAAGTGTCCATTAGAACAGAGTCATTGTTGGTGGGACCAGCAGCTGCTGTCTGACTTAGCGTAGTCAATTTATTCGATAATGCCTCGATTTGATCATGTAAATTGGCATTAAGCGCATTGAGATCTTCCAAACGTTTCTCAAGCTCTTCTTTTTCTTTGCGCAACAACACCAATGATTCGTCTTGATCTTTTTTGTGATTTTCCAAAGCCAACTTGGCATTGTCACGTTCCACCATAAGTTCATTGATCTGACTTTGTACCTAAAGCCAAAATAGACCAGTTATTGAAATGTATCATCAAACAGAATAAGAATTAACACTTACCTTGACTAATTCCTGTTTAACTTTGCCCAACTCCTGTATATCAGCGGAATGCAATATCATCTCATTGGCATATTTCGATTCAACACTGTTCAGATTTTCCGAAAGGGTAATGTTCTCAGTACGTAGAGTACGTAAATTACGATTGCATTCACTCAGTTTCTGTAGGGTATCCTTCAATTCGTCCTGCAAACGTTTAATCTGTTCAGCTGGTTGATTTTGATTAACCTTGGCTTCACTCATTGCGCTCAGCTGCAAATCGGCTTCAAGCTCAGTAATGCGAGACTTGAGATTTTGTTCATTGGCACACAAATCTTTAATTTCAGCTTCAGCCTTTTCCACATACGAAGTGTGCAGGTCATGTAGATTTTTGATTTCTGTTTCAGCATTTTGAGACATCTTGTAATATTGATCTGCATGTTCCTTGGCCTTCTTTAAGCTGGTCTGCAGCGATTCAATTTCAATCTTGGCCTCTTCATATTTCACCTCAAATTCTCGAGCCTTCTTGTTGGCCAATGCAATTGGATTGTCATTCTTGGAAGGTGTTAAGCTCTCCTGTAACTTCTTGCTCAGCTCATCGATTTGTTGTGTTTTGGTGGTGAGTTCTTCACGAACGTTTATCAACTCCATACGTAGTTTGTCCGCTTGTTCCTTCTCTTCCTGCATGAGTTTCTTGGCCGACTCCGTTTGCCGTTTCAAATCATTTGTGGTTTCGCGGAAACGATCTTCCTCTTCTTGGAATCTTCTGCGTTGGGCCGAAAGCTCTCGTACTGTTTCATCCAATCTTTGTTCCAAGCGAGCCTTACCCTCTGTCTCAGACCTCTCCAGATTGGCTTTGATCAATTCCAAATTGTTAAGCAACAAAGTTTGACTTTGTTGTTCACGATGATAGGCTTCTTTTTCGGCCTGTAGACGTCCCACCGAATCCTTCAGTATACGATTTTCATGTCGGACACGACTGGCTTCCGACTCGGCAGCCGATTGTTGGCGTTGGCATTTCATTATTTCATCCTTGAGATAGAGTACGGTTTGTTCATGTTTCACAATGGTGTTTTCATAGTTCTTATTGCGGTCCTCCAAGGCAGTAATTTGCTGCTTATAAGTGGCAATATTCTTTTGTTGTAATTTAATCTGTTCTTTGGTGTAATCCAAAGAAGACACCAATTTACAATTGGTGGAGGTTAATTCTCTAACCTCAGAACGCATGGAATCAAATTGCTCGTTGAGTAACTTTTCATTATTCTTCTTCTCTTTTGAGTAGTATTCGTATTGTTCCTTCAATGTCTTGTATTGTTCCTTGACCTCGTGCAGTTGTTGTTCCAGATCTTTTATACGTTTTTCTTGTTCTTTGCTGCCGGCATTGGAACTCTTATTCAAGGCAGACTGACCTGTGGCATTTAGGGATTCATTACCATCATCATCCTGCATTTCTTCATCATTGTCGCTCATATCATCAGCAACGGAAGTGGACTGTTTGTTCAATTTCCTCTGCAGTTCAAAGTATAATTTCTTATAGCGTTCACATTTCGAAACCAAAGTGGCCACTGTATTATTTTGTTGATTCAAAGTATCTTGCATGCTTTGGAATTTGGCGGCGTAATTCTCCAGCTTCTCCTGATAGGAGGCTTCGTCGATTTCCTGTTTTAGAGTTTCGGCCTCTTCCAATTTGGTACTCAAATCCCTGACCAAAAGCAATAACTTCTGGTTATTTTCTTGCAACTCGGTGATATTATTGAATGTCACTAATTTCTTGGAAATTACTTCATCAGTGGTACTCAGATTGCCGCAGGAACCACTCATATTGGCTCCTTCCGATGTAAGGCCAATACGCAATTGTTCTACTTCCTTGAGCAAATAACAAACTTGGCGACTAAGATCTGTTTGGGAATGTTTCAGTTTACGATTCTCCCGATCCATGTGGCTTATCTTGGCATGGGCCTCAACCAACAGTTCTTCCAAGTCGGTTTTTTTGGCCAACATTTCGTCTCTTTGCTGAGCCAAGATATTGTTGGTTTCCAAAAGTTTTTCATATTCTAGTTCTTGTTTCTTAACCATCGGAGCGTTTTCGTTTAACTCACTGAGTATGGTCTTAAGTTGCAAATTTAAACGTGCCAGTTCACGTTTTTGCAATTCACATTCCTCACTTGTCTTAACGTACAAAGAATATAATTCAGTCAAAGACATATCAGCACGAATGAGACGTGAGGCCACCGCCGCCGTAGGAGCCAATTTGGAAATTGCATTCTCCACACTTTCATTTTTCAATTCCTTGAGCAATTCATTGGCATGTTTAATTTCTTCCTTCAACTCATCGATATTTTTCTGCTTTTCATCCAATTCCTGTTCATGTCTCAACTGGGTGGCCTTAAAGTTCGTTTCCAATTCACCATACTGATCACTAGCTTCTGCCAACATTCTCTTCAGATCCGATATGGCTGTTGTCAACTCGGTGCGTTCCATTTCGGTATCCTCACAATTACTCTTGTAGAGATCAGCCAATTTGGTCTTAGCATCCAATTCCTTCTTATAGTAGTCCATCATTTTTTGTGCCTCTTCATTCTGGGCCAAGATCTTCTGTGACAGCTCTTGGACATTTTGCGTTAGACGCTCTATCGTCTCCTTATATTGGGTGCATTGAATTTGAACAATTTTCAATTCTTCAGTCTTCTCGGAGAGTCGTGCCTCCAGTTGCATACTGTTCATGGTATTTTCTCTGCGTATGTTTTGTAATTCGGAAATGTTACGATTCAAGTCCTGTGTTAATGTTTGTATTTGTTTGTGCAACATATCCCGCTCTTGTTCCATGCGTCGTTCTTTGAAATCCAATGTAACTTCTTTGCTTTCGATTTCATCAACGCGTGCCAGGGCTTCACATTTTGCTGCGATTGCTCCCTTTAACTGTTGCTGATAGGCTTTTAAGTCCTGTTGTAAACGTTCTATTTCACTGTTGTGTCGTTCGATCACCTTCAACAAATGATCACGTTCATCACAAGCAGCTTTCTTGTCATTGCGCAGCGATGCCAATTCCCGTTCATAGGCACTTGTTGTTTCCAAGAGCTGTTTACGTTCTGCCGATACCGTGTCCAGTTGTGAACGTAACTCAGTAACATTTTGATTGAAGTTTGCCAATTTAACTTCATAGTCCTGTATTTGGGCTTGCAATTCATCCGCTTTCAACTCGTAATCGTCTGAAAGAAGTGGAGATTTGGAATTTATTAGAAATATGTTTAGGAAGTTAATTTCATTTGAACAAATCCTAGTTTTAGTCGCAGTTAAAGTTATGATGCTGCTTAATAATAAGTAGGAGTGCCCTGAGCATGGACTTAATCTTAAAACGCTCCTTTTTGGAATTCTACGAATTAGAACGCTTTGACCGTCCATTGGGAGGATTAAGTTAGCACAGAGTGTCAAGTATGTACAATAGTTGGAAGATAAATAGATGCAGCATGTACTGGATATGTGATGGATACAGCGACACTTCGTTTATGTTGTATTGCCTCAGTGACTGCGACAGTACCCAAACAAATAAAAATTAACTGAGTGTATAGAAAACTTTTCATATGTAATTATGATGACAACTTGAAAAGAGTTGAAGGCATTTTTGGGACTCCAAGACTTAAAACATGCTGTCGGACCACAAAAGTATTAGATTAAGATCAGATAAAGTTCTGGGTTTCAAAATCCATATGCTGGACATGATACAGCCCCTCTCGCGTAAATTTTCTGCTCTCTAAGCGAGTTTGTCAATGTGATCTGACAATATCTTCCCTAGCTGGGGACATGTCCGTAAAAATTCCGCAAAATTATTACCATGGACCGGAGTTTGAAGTCGGCCAATACATATTCACTTGAGCATTTCAACAGACAGTGGGCTAAGGTGACAATTCTTAAACGAATAAATTCAGCCCCATTAGAAAGAGACTCCGACTAAACTCTTTATTTCTCTTAGCTTGTTCACTTAGACGTGTTAGACGATATCAAAATACTTCGCTCTCAACACCACTGTATGTGCCCTACCGTAATGAAATCAGTGGTATGCTTTCTATGAAAAAAGCAAAAATTCTACGTTTACTTCTTTACCAAGACAACATTCTAAGATATTACAATTTTCTCAAATTTCTTTAAATTTTCACCTACAACGAATTATTTTCTTCCTGCTGGAGGCAACATCAAAATTGGCGGCATTTTTATTTCCGCAACAACAACGAAAAATACCTAAAACATCTGGCATCATTTAACTCAAGTACTGAATGTTTGGTTTGTAATGTTTTTTGTTTTGCTTGTTTTCCGCTGCATCTTTGGTTGTTGTTGCTCTTCATCTATTCTCGCTTTACACCATCTTCGCCTAACACACACACACACATGCAACACACAATTTTTTGTGTATGACATTTTGCGTGCTAGACGCCGCCATTAAAAGACAGGTTAGAGAAATGGTCGGGAAAGCAAACATTTTTCTCTACTCAAACAAATGAATTCACCGGTAAAATTTCACAATTCTGCAATGCTTCGCAATTATCCCGATCTTTTTACTTACGAAGTCGATTGGCGGCCGCTTTATCCTTGTAATATTCATCAAAGAATTCGTCTAGATATTTCTTCAATTTGTCTTGTACATTTTTCGGTGTCAGTTCCAATTCTTCCTGTGTTAGTATATTTGTTAATACTTCTTGCGGACCTCCGAGATCCATTGCAGTTGTCATGTTGGCACACTATATATTCACTTGCAATAAAATATAATTGAATGGAATGAAATAATTTCAAATTTAATCAGATTTTTTCCAAAATTCTAGCACTGTATTTGGACAAAACGGAGATTTGCTTCCTTTTGTTTCTGAGAAAACGCGACTACACGATGAGGATTTTTTGCAAACTGACAAAGAATACGAATGAAATGCAGCTGTGTGAAAGCGGGACTGAAGCAAAGTCGATGAGGAAGGTTTTAACGGCGTTAACTACTGAATGTGCAATTAGCGAAAAATGTAACGTATACGGTACTGATTCGTTACTATTGTGAAAGAGAGTATAAGCCTATTTACACCGAAGACGTCCTGGTAAAATGTTTAATTTCTCTAATTAAAAGTAAAACAACATTCTGGAACATTGATATGTACAAATTTCAAAAATAATGAGATTTTTATATATTTTCTTATACGGCGCCAATCGAAGCTTGCATTTTTGCATTTATTTATGCATTTTTTAACAATTTTTATAAATTTTAATAATTTTTCATTCAAAAAAATCCAATTATAAAATTGGTTTGATATTTCATTGCCCCAGCAGCTGTCTCGATGCGACTATTTGTATTATTCTAACATGAATGAATGCAACATGATTAGTATCAAATACGCAAGATAACATTTTTTGTTTATTGTTTCAAAATCAGTGCAACAGATTTTGAATCAATAAACAAAAAATGCCGTTTGGAAATTTTTTCTGTCAGTGACAAACCCACTTCCATTACACTACTTGGTACAATAATAAAGTAGGTAAAAATAATGGTACAATAATAAGGTAAGACGGTTTCGTAAAACGAAAGTAGTATTGTTGCAGAAATATTGTTGCATGCGTACCGCGACTGTCAAAGATTAATTTATTTTATTATCGGCTAAGCCAAGTTTTTACTTTTATAATTTACGCTCAAGCCGATCTCGAAAAAAATTAATGATAGTTGGTGGAGGAAAAAAATTTTGCCAATGTTCCCCTAGTATTTTTTTAAAGATAAAAAATTAATTATTGAAATACATTGAGGCAACGAAAATAAGGGGTTTATATTTACTGTCCATTTAAATATATACCGGAGTAAAACTATCGTTCCTCTTCCGAGAAGTGACTCCAAGAAAAAAATCTTTTTGAGGGGTTAGTTTTTTTTGTGTTGCATGAAAATTCGTTAAAATAGATTTAAGTCTCAAAAATTATATTTAAGAATAAAAAAATTATGTTTCGTGATTGACAGATTATAAAAAGTATCTGTTAGTTTATTAACTCGTGGGCATGGCAGAAGAATACAGGTAGATGCATCAACGCTTGGGAGCATTGATATGTAAAAAAAATTATTTTTTTTTTCAAATATAAGTAGATTTTTATATGTTTTCTTATACGACGTTATTCGGGGGTTATTATAATACGCATTTTTCAACAATTTTTACAAATTTAAATAATTTTTCATTCAACATTTTCAATTTAAAAATTAGTTTGACAGTTCATTGTCCCAGCAGCTGTGCCGATGCGTCTACCTATATTCTTCTACCATGTATAGAATGTAAATTGTGTGGTAAGTGTTAGTGGAATGCGGGGCCCTTGAAAATGTAAATATTGGGAAAAAAGGTCAAGGTTGGGAGGGTTAAGTGTGGGTGCGACTTCCACCAAGCACCCTTGCCCCTGGTGTATGTAGTGTTTGCATTTTTGTTTGTTTTGATGTTTGTAATATCTTCCCGTTTTAATTTTTAGGTCCCTTCGACTGTTGGTGTCAGAATTGCGACCGACACTGAGCAAAAAAGCTCCCCTTGAGCAGCTGTGTACCCACCATAGAGCAGCATAAGTTGGTAGCATAACACTATCCAAAATTATATGCACAAGTTCTTTAAATTTTTAGTGACATTTTTCCTCATTTTTAAAATTTTGTTTTTTTTATACCCTACAACACTATGTGTTGGGGGTATTATAAGTTTGATTGGGCCAAAAATTATGTAACACCTCGAAATATTGGTTTCCCACATAGGAAAGTATATATGGATCTTCCTAACTCGCCGAGCTGAGTCGATCTAGCTATGTATGTCCGTCCATCCGTCTGTCCATGTTAATTTGTAATCACTCTACAGGTCGCAATTATGGTCCGATCTTCACGAAATTTAGAATGTAGGTGGGGCTTGGACCAGAATAGAACCCTATTGCTTTTGGAGATGATCGCCAAATGTCGGATTTTGCAGTAGCTCTACAGGTCGCAATTATAGACCAATCGACGCGAAATTTCGTATGTAGATAGAGTTTAGGGCGGGGAAGAAGCCTACTAATTTGGGTGGTCATCGGATAATATTTAGCGGATAAAATATACCATATCTTTTGTGTTGAAAAAAATCAAAATTTTTTATTAAACCGTGAATTTTTTAAATCCCGGAGAAATCACAAAGCCATCACAAGGTTACTTCTGACCTTTACATTGATGTTATTATCCAACAAATCGGATATATAGCAAAATATGTGCGATATATATGTCTATCAAAGGAGATATGCTTGAAAGATCTCTTATATATCGAGAACGGCTGAACTGATTTCGACAGTTCTGATTAATTCAGAATGGCCTCTTGGCAGGAAAGAAAAAACGTCTAAAAAAATCGCATAAAAATATCTCTGTAAAGATGAAAATATTGATTTTGTAACATTTTCTCATATTTTTTCCATTTTGTCATATTTTTGGCATATTTTCATTTTGAATTAAACATTTGGTGATATTTCTACAGCTAACAAAACTAAGTAGTTAGGATATCAGGATATCATATACAGATCTCATTTATGGCCCGATCCTTACGAAATTTTGCATGGGGATAAGATGAGGGTCAGAATAGAAGCCTACTCTTTTTGGAGATGATCGCAAAATATTTAGGGGTTGAAATGGACCAAAAAAACTACAAAATTGTCAGCAGGTCATAATTATCGCCCGATCCTCACGCACATTTGCAAATTGCAAAAGCCAAGCAGTTTTGGATGGCCATACAAAAATATTCAATGTGTGAAGGAGTTTGCCAACTTTTGTAGACAAAATACGAAAATGTCCATTCCAGTGACTTTTTGGAGAATTCACAAATACAGGAAAGACGCACTTTCGACTATTTCGTTAACGCTGATTTCGTTGAAGAATATAGTCAAATGGCTGTATCTCATATAGATGCGTTTCAGTCAAAAACCAATAATAAATGTTAATCTTTTGCCACTTCTGAAAGGTTATAGGTCTTTGGGAAATATTGGTTCCAGATCTAGGAAGACCATCTATGTGCAACATTTACCAATAAATTGGAAATGAGCAAATTAGTTTTAGTTGATATTATTCGAAAATTAGAGAACGAAACCTGATGGCTTTCTTTTATTATTTGTCACAATATCTTGTGGAATTCTGTCGAGTATTTCGCCTATATAAACTGTATGGTTTATTATAGTGTTGTAGGGTATTCAACGGTCGGCCCCGCTCGACTGTAGCCTTTGCTTACTTGTTTTTTGTTTGGATTTTCTTTTAAATACATATCTCAATAAGAAAGAGGAGTCAACTTCAAGGAAACTAGGACAATGCAACTCTGCACTAGCGTCTTATTGTGTCAAATAGACTTTTTAAACATGCAACAATCGGTTTTGTTTTTTTTTTCATAAAATTACAATATTCGGGAAAATCCACAAAACATGAATGGAATATTGGGGTTTTCCACAAAATTGAATCCAAGATAGAGGGATACTATTGTTTAATTATAGATTTTATTGTCCGCTAGGGGGAAAATATGCATTTTTGTTGCCTCTAAATTAGAAATAATCTTAAATTGTCTGTTTGTCCAAAACAAACCACACACACTTACAAACTTGGTATATGTTTTAACAAAATAGGGACACCAATATGGTACAATGAAGGCAAGGTAGGCTAACTTTGAAAAAATACCAGCATAGAGGTCTACCTGTTTCACTATCAAAACAATCAAAAAATCAAACAACTTGTTGCATTGATTTTGAATAAATAATTGAAAACCGCGAAAACTGATTGAAAGGTCCAAATTTCTTTTCAAAATCATGTTCTATATATATCTTTAAAGGTTAATTTCGCTACAAAAAGTGTAGATTATGTCGATGCATTTTCAAAATACACGAATTTGAATATTTTCTGAACAATTTTTTTTATTATAGTAAAGAAAACACACACATAAACAAACAAAATTGACATATTAAGCCAAGAAAACAAATTTCTTGTACCATGGACACCAATAGAAAAAATTATATTTCTTCTACCGTCTTTAGTTGTGCCATGGTCTAATCTGTTCATTCTTTCAATTACAGGACAAAACTGGTTAATAGCTTTAATGATGCGTCCATGGCAGAAGAATACAGGTAGATGCATCAACGCTTGGGAGCATTGATATGTCAATAAAATTCTAAAGTTTTTTCAAATGTAAGTAGATTTTTATATGTTTTCTTATACTACGTCATTCGAAGGCTATTATAATACGCATTTTTCAACAATTTTTACAAATTTAAATAATTTTTCATTCAACATTTTCAATTCCAAAATTGGTTTGACAGTTAATTGTCCCAGCAGCTGTGTCGACGCGTCTACCTATATTTTTCTACCATGGATGCGTCGAAATCTTAGAATTGAACAATTTCAACATTGACAATTGAACAGTTTTTTTTTTTATATTGAAAATTTAAACGAATAATACAACAATTCTTAATGTTTTATTTAAAAAATTGACTAATTTTTTAAATTTTCAAAATGATCAATTTTTACAACTTTAATATTAAATTATTAGGTTTTAAGAGATGGACCTGGTGTATTTGAGTAATACCAACGTAGACAACTTGAATCCAGGGTGGAGAAATACGTTAAATTTTAGGCAAAACAATACATATCATTCCGACAACAAGTAATTTTCATTTTTACCAATTTGATGTATTGTCAAACATTTCAAAAACATCAACATTGAACGTACTCAATTTATTTAACGCCGTCAGTGCCATAAGGTAATCCCCAGGCTTTGTTATCTGCATGACATTCCCTGTTTCTGCATATTTTTTGTTTATTATTGTTTTCATTTTACCCACGAAAACGTAAACGTTCGCTATTTTTGCCCCATTGTTGTTGCTTTTATTCTTAAGTAGCAAAGTCAAGAGCTAAAAATATTTCCAAAAATATCGTCATCAAACGCACAGAACAGCGGTCAGGCGATTTGACAAGGTGAGACAAATGAAGAAAAAATATTGTATAATTTGCATAAACAAATGCATTTTGGAATAAATTAGTAAACTATTATTGAAATAAGAGCAAAAGTTCAATTAAAGCAATAAAAACGATTTTTGTGGTGAGTCGTTAATTGTGGAATTTATGTAGATTTTTCAATATTATTTTAAAAATGTGATATATGCTGTTTTGTGAATTCTCCGATATTTAGTTAATTGTTTTTATGTTATCGTATAATTGTAATTCAATAGCCGGCAAAAAAATGTTGACGGTTACATTATCAGTTAAATTAATGGTTATTGGTGTAAAATTCAAGTTCAAGTTCTTCCGTCTTAACCCGTTGTAGTCCGATAGTGCTAATTTAGATCTTTGGCATTAGACGATTATTGTCGGTAACGGCATAAAACTCGAAATGCATCATTCAGTATTTAGGTTAGATATGTTATCATTATAAATTAATTAGGTATATCAGTCAATTTGCAGTGGTATATGAAGGCCGTATATGATGTCTCGTGCCGAAAATCATTGAAAGCAGTTTCACCATATGACTTTAAAGAAACATAAATATCAAATCAGAGGGAACATAAATATGGAAGTTCTCGATAAATTTCAACCCGTTGGGAAGACTTCTACGCTTAGTTTGAATTCATGGTCCAAATATCATTTTTTTTTACCAACTTTGATAGGAACTGGAGAAATCAGATAATATTGAAGATATAATATAATATCTTAAATAGACACATTTTTCTTTGATTACAAGAATGCATGGACGGACATCCCAAAATCGGCATAGAAAGTGAAATGCATCATGAAAGTGAAATGAGGTGGACAAAGACAGCAGCTATCAGTGTACTTGAAATATACCTAAGGATGCAAATGTTATTCCACTCACGCAAATTGATTTTTGAATATTCCGAATTTAATCGTTAGTGCTAACAAGTGGTTAAGTTTTTGTTTATGAATAACTAAGAAGAAACTTTGACAATCTATTATATTTCTAGTCATTCGTCTCTTATACTTTCTATAGTAACATATCTCTCCCCAAAGTTCCTTCTTATGACAGTTATTAAATATACCATGGCATCAGCTTTTGTATATTTTTTTATTCAAAAGGAGTTTTGAAAAGAATGAAATCCAAATCCCTTAATCGGTTAATGAATCTGATTACCTCCCTCTTCTATGTCACTGAACATACCCCATAGACATTCTATTCTCTAGGCGAGGTAACAAAGTCTGTGCGGCTTTATAAATGAACGGCGTTGCTGATGTGACATTTGGTCTTGTTGGCTTTGCCTGTTGTTTATTGTTGTGTTTTTCGAAAAAACTTTTTAACATATCTCTCCCTCTCTTGTTTAATCAAATTTTACAGATCAAAGATGGGAATTATATTAGCAAAATTTCGGGTAAGTTTGTCCTTACTTAATTTAAAAAAATTTAATTATTATTGTACTTTTTTTGCAGAAAGAGAAATCCACGCAGGAGGTCCTCGAAGAATTGCAAGGAAAAATAGATGAGTTGGAGGACTTCACCTATAATACACAAGAACAAAAGAAACGGATTGTTGGCAATTTTCTGGCCGTATCCATTGGCATATACATAATTGCTTTTGTTGTCTTCTATTTTGTATATTTTCCACCTACATGGAGGGATCGTATAGTATATTCCATACCGCTGTTGCTGTTTCCCATCATGTAAGTAAATAGAGTGTTGTACACGAGCCGCTTGGTGACAATTTTTGCTTAGACCGGTTAGTTGGTAAGATAGATATGTGGTTTCTTTTTTTTTGGCGAAATTCGATATGATCTTGTCTGGGCGAAAGGGAATGTGTTGGGGCTGCCACGGTTTGAGTCATTGCACCGAACTGGAAGTTTGTTCATAGCAGCATAGCGGTGACATTAACACTGCTTTGATGATATGTAGTCATTGTAGAGTGAAAAGAGATTGTTTAACGAACGCTTGAGTTGAACTATGATGAGTAATGATGATGCACATATATTTTGCTGGGGGATTGTCCACAAACAAAAAGTTGCATTGTGTTTTTAAAAATAGTTTTGAATACAGTACTGGTAGTTTGACTTCATGTACATATGTGGGTTTGGATTGCTTGGCGATAAAGGGCTAAATGTTTGCAGTAGAAGAAAATTTAAGCCCATGGTAGAATCTAAGCGAACAACAGCAATGTGATGTCAATACTTTGTAACAGAAAGCGAAAATACGTGATATGAATGTAAAATTTGATATTTGTAACACGATGCACAAATCTCTAAAACAATCCCATGTTTTCCGACCTTGAAATATCTTGGTATAACAATTCTGGAAATTATATTTCTAAACATTCGAAATACGTGCATTTTGTATTTAAAATGTATCTCCATTTGATAACTTTTCGGTTTGGAGTGCTAACTATCAAAAAATTAACTTGCCCAAATAAAAAGCACAAATGCCTCAGAAAAACAAACATTTCGAATGCTGTTCGCTAAAAGGCTATTTTTTTATTGTCTGAAATCGTGAGTGACTATGCCTGTAGTCACTTATTAAAGGCTGAGTTTTAGTACATTGATAATACAAAAAATGCACAGCATTCATATTTATCTAAAATGTTTTTCACTTTCAGTATTATCTTCCTGCGTCATTTATTCTCCTGGTATTACCAGCGAAAGCTAAACAAGAACTCGAAAAAATTAACTGCCTTAAGGGCCGAAAAGAAGAAAATTCTCGAACAAGTCATGGATAAGGAGACCTATAAAGTGGCTGTCAATCTGTTGGCTCGTTTTGCCGATAAACCTAGTCGGACAACTTTTAGTGGTAAGGAAGCTCAATATAAATTTTCCATTATACATAATTTCTAATTGTGATATTTTACAGCCACCACATCCAGTTTACGCACACCTGCAAAATTACCACAAACAACGTCTTCACTGAATCGCTCCTTACCCGTAACTGCAATGAAAACCACACAATTGGCGTTAACATCGCCGGCGGCTCAAAAGACTTCATTAGGAGCTGGTAACACTTCTACCATATCAAATAATAGTCCACGAACTGCAACTACAACAGCGCTATCGCCACTTTATGACAGTACCGCAAATCAAAGTGGCCAGTTAGTGCGTCGCCGTACGCCTTTTCCTGTCGTCAATCAAAATGAAAAGGGTGTATTTGAGAAAATTGTCGATGTTTTAATTGGTGATGGACCGGGAGATCGTTTTGCCATGATTTGCAAGGAATGTTATGCTCATAATGGTAAGAAAGAGATTTTTTATTTTATTGAAAAGAATTTTATATATTTCAAAGTATTTATTGAAATCCTTAAAATATCTTTTTAAAGTCTTTAAATTGTGAAACACTTCTACAGATGAAAGAAGTCTGCCATGGTTAGAACATCTTTTAGAGGTCATCTATAGAAAGAAGGCATTCTAAATGGTTTGCTCAGTAAGAGACTATAACGATTTTTTAGATTTGAATTTGTTTTTATTTATTTCGATTAGCAAAATAGCAGTTGTTCAGCAGTACATTATATTCATTACAAAAATGTCAATATTAGTTTGACATAATGTGAGAGTGATATTAAACTACTCAAAACTAAATTAATATTTATAAAAATTATAGCATTAGTTGTTATCATTCTTTAATTTTATCATTCTAATTTTAGTTGAGTAGCACACAGACCATTCCTTATGGGATCCAAATTATTTTGTAGTTTACAGCCAAAATTATAACCAGTATTTCGACATAAAGAAATACTGGGGATTGTTTTGAATGGAATTATATAAATAAATAGAAGGGTCATACGACGTCTTCTTTAGTTTGCAGATTATCTCCAGCTTAAGAAATCATTTAAAGTTTTTTGTTAAAGCTGGAAGAGGAAATATTTTTTGAGCCTTTTTTTCAGACGATAGTTTAAAGGAATTCCATAACTGTGTTCTATTATTGAAGAAGAAATTTATTTTAACAAGTTACCAATCAAAAAATTATATACCATTTTCTGTACAAAAGAGACTTTTCGACCTTATTTAAACAGGATCCATTTACATGTTTTTATATAGATAGGAAAGCTTTTGTAAGTCGCATATAGATCTTGTATAGATAAAATACTTAATAATTGGTCTCCTACCTTATTCAAAAGTATCGAAACTTTCATACCTTACATTTCCCTCTTATTTCTAGGTATGGCCTTGAAGGAGGACTTTGAATATACCACATTTAGATGTGCATTCTGTAATGCTCTGAACCCGGCCAGGAAGGCAAGACCGGCTGCTCCACGTTTGACGCTTAATGCAAATACACCCCAGGCTGGTGCTGCTAATGCTTCTCACTCTTCATCAGACGAAAAAGATGATTCAGGTAAAATATTTTAAACAATTTGACCTACAATACAAAATATAACCATTTCGTTTCCATTTCATTCCCATAGATGATGATCTATTACCCGTAACTGCAACACAATTTACAACGCCCCTAACTAGCATGACTACACGTAATGCCAATGTAGATACTTCATCATCTTCGGAAGATGAGGCTAGCCAACCAAAAACAGTTAACAAACCGTTGCTAGCCACAAAACCAGCAGATGGGGAAGAGAAACAAGATGAAGCCACCAACAGTGATGTAAAGTCTGAAAAGTTAGAAAAGTCTGACTCGGCCATAGATGATGTGACTATGAGTCCGAAAGAATAGAGAAGTTAAAGCTATAGCACTAAAAACTCACCAGCCAATTAACGTTGAATTTATTAACCTTTTGCTATTTTTATGCATTTTGTTACTTAGTAATTATTTTTTTTAAATAATTATATTTTGTATTCTCTTCATTTCTAATATTAATAGTTAAGCATTTCTTCTATCCAAACCTTTTTATACATACATCGTTTTTATTTAAAATTTATAATTTTATTTAATTATGTTTTTCCTTTTTAACAATTTTAATGCATTGCTTTTAAGATGTTTATTAATTAGCACTCTTTTGTGGAGAACCAAGCCTTAATATAATAATTTATTATAGATTTTGTGCATAATGAAATCACCAATCCAAAATATATTTTGAAATCTGTTTATTAGATAATATCCAATTGAATTAAGAACTAAAGATTTTTAATTATATTTTGGTTAGATGGCAAGGAATATTCAAAATATTCATGCCGCCTCTTGTCTAATGAAGAAAACAAATTGTAAATTATGAGTAAATTAATTTAAAATAAAAACAAAAAATCTGTAAAAATTTGGAGAAAAATGTGTTGTTTACAATAAACCTATCCAAATTTATAGACTATGTTCCTGAGTTGACATAACAGAAGGAAGATTTCATCGTGATGCCAAAAACAACAGTGTTGACTGACAAAGAACTAAATGGGAACTTCTTCAAATAAAATGCGTTCAAAGCCTATCATTTCGTTTAATATCATAAATTTTACGCGAAGTTGGACATTTTTTCACTTGCAGTTGAAATCAATAATACACATATTTATGTAATAATCAATATATGTAGGTACGTAAGAACATATTGTCTGGTTTTATGATACATGGAATCAGATCATCTGTACCAATTTTTATTAACAATAACATGGACTTTTTTATATGTAAAATATTTTGGATTCCAATTTTTTTGTATTTAAACTTTTCCAACTTTCGATTTCCATTTAAAAGCTATTTAATTAAAAAAAAATCACACCAGTGAATGCTGATCGAATTCAAATTGATTTGAATGTATTAAAATAGTCGCGACTCAAACCATCCCACCCACAATAAATAAGATCAAATGTCAGTAGGAGAAATAAACAAAAAAAAAAACGTGATAATATTTTTATAATATGCATGTAAATATTATGGCTTACTTCACGGCAAATAAATAATAAAGTAACCAACAATAAAAAACTAAAAGAAAGGAAAAACAATATTACAACACATAGGCGTCACCGTGACTTTTGAGCTGTGACTTGCCATACCAACGCATACAGTGGTATTTGTTGTAGAGGGATTTAAATTTAACAATGGATAATTTTATCCACACGGCGATTGCATTAATCACATGTGTGATAAATAAATAAACGTTGGTTTTATAAATAACATCCGGTAATTTTATCGGGACAGTTTTCTCCCCCAACGCGGATAAAATTACTCACGAACATGAATTTTGATATCCACCAAACTGCGATAGTTGTGTCCACCGTTTGATTTCGACAAATTTTGGAATTTGGAGTTAAAAAAACTCTAACGCCATAATTTTTACATTTTTTTAATTTTATTGAATGAAAGAAAAAATGTGGGAAATAGCATCTAATTCTAGAATAAGTTTAGATTTCTTCGAATTAGCCACCTTTGGCACGAATTATGGCCTTCAAACGGCCAATGAAACCGACACACGATGCCCGAATGTTGCTCTGCGGAATTTGGCCCATTCCCGGCTAAGCGCTAGCTTGAGGTGATCGACACTTTGGTATTTTTTAGTGCCAACCGAGCAACCCCGAGCTCATTTTTGAATATTGTCGAATGGAATATTGCAATATGTTCAGCTCACGAGCCATTATTTGGCCACTGCGAAGCGGGTTTCGATGAAGTCGCTTCTTTACTTTTCGAATCAATTCTGCTGATGTTGCTGTTTTCTTCCATCCACTTCCTTGACGTCGGGCTACGCTATCAATTATCACACTATCACGCTTGAATTCCATCACGAATAATTTTTTTCTGGAAAGTTCTCACCAAAATGCTTTTGTACGCTTGTAAACAATATAATGAGTTGTCACTGGATTAATTTTAACAGCTGTCGTACGAATGGCTTAGAAATGACAGCAGTATGAAATTGATTGCAGATTTTTCATCTCACCATGTATTTCCAAGATCAACTCCAAATACATACATCGGTTCGCCCTAATCCAAATAACACAAAATTTAATTCACATTTTTAGGATTCCAGCCCTGCCGGTTCGCACAAATCCAAATTGTACCCATTTAGTACACATAAGTACGAATTTCCAAAACTTTCTACAATTCTACACTCTAAATTTCCGAAACAAACTCCATACCTCAATCATACCACCCCCAAAAAATCATATTCCAATTGTCGGTTCACCACAGTTCCAATTTGTACCAAATTTCGTATCATTTTGTACACTCAAGTACAAATTAGAAGTCTTATTTTCCAAATCCGAATTCTATTGCTTTTTTATTTGTTAACACTAAACAAGATACTTTTATCCACAAAAGTGGATAATTTTATCCCAACGCTGATATACTTTGTAAATGTATTCGCCAAACATGGATAATTTTAGAGATTTTCCTTGGCAATTCAATTTCAATAAACTGAGTTGGTCATTCTAACCACTGTCATTGTGTTTGAGGCATTAAACTAACCTCGGAACTTAGATCGCAATGTTCAAATCATACCAAATATTTCATTTGAGTAACAAAAATCAGTTTTACAACAACTCAGTTTTGCCACAGCTACAACAAGCCAACACACACATTTTGATAACAATGATACCAATGCCCATGACAACAACAATACATACATTGACTTTACAAAGCAACAACAACAACAATTTGCCAGCCACTTAGCATATGCGCAACAATTTTCCGGACCATTGATCAAGGCTACCAACCCCCTAAATTTGAAAAAACGGAGACTTGTTTTCAGATCTGAAGTATTCAAAGCCATCAGTAACGAACAACAACAAGCTGTACTCATATGTATGTCGGTTCATTACAACAAGTTGTTTGTTGCTATGTTAATATAAATTATTTGTTTTTGTAGTTGTTATTAATTTTTCATTGACGAGAAGAACAAAATCAAGTAATCCAAAACACCTACTTTTTGTTTGTATTGCAATGTAGAGGAGGATAGGTTGCCACAGAGGTGGTGATGTCGATGTGGCTTGACCACAACTCCATTTGTTCTGCTGATGAACGTCGAAGGAACGGTCAGTACGTTGGTGTCTGTGTGCCTGCCATGCGGTTTCGTTACACCGTTTTTCATGCTTGATTTAGGATTCCGAATGTGGTATTAAGAATTTATTTCATTTTTATTGTGTTTATTGCAATTCGGAAAAGGGTACGACGCGAAAGAAACGCCAACATTATGTAATGTGCCTGAAAATCACTTAAAAAACCGCCACACTAACGCCTCTTTCTGATCCGCATGCAACATTCTTTACCGTTGGCAATTTGTGGTGAATGAAAATGTGGCTGGTGTTGGAAACACTTTGGTGATGGAAAGTAGTGACAGAGGCGTAGAGGTAGTTCAGTTCCTGAAGTAACCTGAAAATTTATTATGAGAATGAGCAACGATCTCACCAGAAGTGTAGATGTAGTTATATGTTCCTATTGCACTATTTTGTTCAATTAGAGACTATCCCAAGAAAAGCAGGACTGTCTCGTTTGGGGAAGTCTGTAATTATCCATATGTGGAGTTAATGGGATAGTATTAGGATAGGATGGATAGATTTTAACTGCTGGTACAGAACTGCTCAACGTTTATTTCGCGCCTGTTAGCAGCTGTGTATCGTATCAGACATTATCCCGCTTTTTCAAGGCAATAACAATCTGGAAGTTTGTAATGCGGTTTCATTATTTCTGAGCGGGGAAGTTAATTGACCTGAATGCGGTTCGCTTTAAAGAACTACTCAATTCTTATGATTTGCGGGGAGCAGAATGGATTTTCCGAAAATTGGCAGATGCTCGTGGATGATGAGTCTCCGTGCTTCAGTTCTACTGATCCCAGTGAGCAATTAATGAAAAAGTTGTTGGACATGAGAAAATTGCGGTAGAGGTTAAGTCATCTTCGAACCATAGGAAAACAAACAACATAATAGTGTCTGATCTGATGAATTGCGGCAAATTCCTGAAACACCTGCTCGCCGAGTAGATGTCTTCCCGTCGAGGATGTTATACCGCAGTTCATGATAGATTGAGATAGATTATCATAGATTATCAAAGCGATGGGACCGAACGAAATCTTAATGCTAATTTTAAACAACTGGATTACCCGTGAGTCGAATACCTTACGAAAGTGTACTAAGTATTTAGATTAGTGTGAATGGATGAAGATGAAAGAATGGATTTATTTTGTTCGAACAGATAGAGCTTGAAATCTGATATTGGGGTCGCTGGTTATACGAATGCGATAAGTACTAAACAATTCTAATTTTATAGATCACTGTTCGGTATCTGCGTTTGAAATTTGCGGGTGGGTTGGATATGCGTCCTATATTTGTAAGAAAACTACTGAATGGTATTGGTTGAAGGGATAGGGCTGGAATACTCAAATTTGATATTGAGGTCTCTGGAATTGAGAAATGGAGGTGATTTTGGAAATGCGTACTATAATTACATGAAAAATACTGAATATTAATAAATGTGATATTGCGTGAAGGCATAGAGCTGAAATCCTTAAGCTTGGGTGAGATGAAAAAACTGCAACCAACTTCAGACTTCTGCCATTCTTAAGTCACTCGTCCGACAGTTGTTGTTTTGGTGAGAATTTCCAGCAAAAAAAGTTATTCGTGGTGGAATTCAAGCGTAATAGTGTAATTTCTATTTACTTGGCTGGAAAACCACAAATGGCTATCGTTAGAGCACTCCAGCATTTTAATGTGAATAAATCTTTTGTGTCTTGTGCCATCGCTCATTACTGTGATACTGGTAGCGTAGCCCGACGTCAAGGAAGTGGACAGAAGAAAACAGCAACATCAGCAGAAATATTTCGAAAATTAAAGAAACGACTTGATCGAAACCTTCGTCACAGTGGCCGAACAATGGCTCGTGAGCTGAACATATCGCAATATTCCATTCGACAAATTTTGAAAAATGAGCTCGGGGTAAAGCCATTGAAATTCCAGAAACCGCAACAGAAAGAAAATAGACTCGAAAGAGTTAAAGAGTTGCTTCGCTTGGCCGAAAGGGGTGAACTGCCGAATTTGATTTTTTTCGATGAGGAAACATTCGTTGTCCAGCAGTTTGTAAACAAAAAAAAAAAAAAAAAAAAAAATGATGGCCACCAAAATCGCACAACGGCCACCAAAATCTCCGGATACCAATCAGTTGGACTATTGTGTCTGGAGTATTTTGGAAAGCAAGGTTGACACTAAAAAATACCAATATGTCGATCACCTCAAGCAAGCGTTTCGCCGGGAATGGGCCAAAATACCGCAGAACAACATTCGGGCAGCGTGTGACGGTTTCATTGACCGTTTGAAGACCATAATTCGTACCAAAGGTGACCCATTCGAACAAATCTAA